TTCCATCCATCCCAGGGGGAAGCAGCCTGCATCGCTGTGTTGGGAGCCAGCCGCCCGGGCGGGGCCGGGAGAGGTGCTGGGCAGCGCCAACATGGGCATGGAGGAGCCACTGGCACGGGATGTTCACCACTGAGCTGGTTTTCTTTCCTCCCTCTGGTCCAGCAAGCAGAAGCAAAGGGGCTTTGGGAGATGTGGATGGGCAGGCCAGCTGTGCAGGTCACCAGCTTCTTAGCCTGAAGGACAGGGAATGGATTTCTCATGGCAAAACCTCTGTGCTTCCTTCCCCACTTGCCCCAGCAGCGTGGCAGGGGGCTGCCGGGGAGCACACACTGGCTACCAGATACACAAACCCACCGAAGAACCACAGGCTGTCATCCCCCCTGCTCTCCCCCAAATTTAAGTCGAGCATTTTGCAGGTGATGCTCAGCAAAGCAGCCTGCACGTTGTATTAACCCTCTCCTTGCTGTGATATAAAGGCAGAGCCTGCTGGCCCTTGCTGGCTATGCCTCCAGAAAATCAGCAGGCCCCCCTCCTCCTCTTCTTCCCCCTTTCCTCCCCTTTTCACCAAGGCTGCCCCACAGGCAAACGCTCCCACCACCTTTATGTTGCTGGTAGAGGAGTATGCAGTGCGGAGGTCTCAGTTAATTCTGGAACTGCTGCAGTCCCATCAGATATTAAAAAAAAAGGCAAGAAATGCTCTGGTACAATACACTCGCCAAGGCTGCTTAGGTGACCTGCTGCTTTGCATATCAATAAGCTTCTTGCAGAACCCAGTGGAGAGCAGAGTCCTAGGGATGTACGTTCATTCGTTTGTAAGAAGGAGAGAAATATCCTCCCTGAACCCAACAGAAACCCAGATGGTTCAGGTTCAGGTTCAGGCTAAGCAGGGCTCCCAGCCAGCCTGGCTCCCCCTGGGAATGGACTTTTCTTACAGGTCTGAAAGGTGCCTGAGGAAAGCACACACTTTCTCAGGAGGTTTCAGGTTTGCTCTCTGAGTGTCTGCTACGCTGGGAAATTTTGGGGAGGGGAGGGGGGGTGGCTGCAAATTGCACAAGACTGAGAACCCCTGGGGGAAATAATCCGGGTGCTATAAGGACATAATAAACCAGGTATAGGGGATTTGTCACTCCACCTTTGTGCCATACCTCTGCCCCTGGTCGCACCGTACCGAGGGAGGGTGCCAGCCACTTGCAGGGGTTTCTCAGCAGTGGAACCCCCCCCCAGCAGCTTCTGGGGCGCAGAGCGTGGCAGTGCCCCAGCCACCCCCCTGCAGCAGGCGAGCCTCCCACAGCCAAGCGCAGGGACTCGTGGGCTTTGCCATCCCAGCGCTGCCGCGTGAAGGCAGACAAGTAGCCCCAGCTACCCTTGCAGTTGGTAGAGGGAAGCATTAATATTTAACTCTCTCCCCAGGCCACGGAGCTGAGCCATTGATCGCTGCCAAAACACCTCTGCGTTCACACAGAGTTCAACAGAGTTGCTTTGTGCCTTTCTATAGCATCTGAAGGGACTGTAGTTACGTTTCTGTCAGTGCAAAGCTAAGGTCTCTGTTATACCTGCTTCCCTTGCGTCTCTCAGGTTTACTGTGGGGCTTTTCTCAGTGCCACAAAGCTGGGAGCCACATCCCCTGGGGTCCTGCGGCTTTTAGCCATGCTCTGCCTCGGACCACAGCAGCTGTAGGCACAGCAGGCATGGGAGAAGGTCTCTTCCATTCACAATTTCCATCCAGATTATCACCTGGTAATGGATTAATTCTTGCTTACTACCATGGTGGACAGTTCACGCCCAACTGGGTGATTCTGATTTAGGGAAAATCAGGGACACAGTCTATGTCCCAGCCAAGTTCCCTTTCCTCCCTCATCCCAACTACTTCCTGACCTTTTCCTTGATGGTCACGGGGATGTGTCACAAGAACCTGACACCCAAACAACTCCCAATTTCAGTCCCTGAGCATCCGAGGGCCATGATTCAGTGCACGAATCTGCAAGGCAGTCTGCAGATTTTTGAACATCTGCGATTCAAGCAAAGTCAGATTTAACTTGGACAGCACTAGCACACCTCCATAATGTTGCTGCATAGTTCTTCTTCCTGCATATCACCCTCTTGTTCTTGAGTCTGACTGCATATGTGATATTTGGCTTATTTCTCAAGTGCCTGCACGGTGCAGAACGTGGTCAAAATGTAAATGCAGATTTAGCAGAAGAGCAAATCCTGTCTGTGCTTCCCAGTCCACCACGCAGTTAGCTCATGAAGTGAACCCTGGAGCTGTGAAAACCGTCTGTGGCAATACGCAAGTAGATCACTTGAGAAAGTCTTAATGCATACAAAGAGCCTGGAAAAAAGCATGGGAAGAGATGGACGGGTTGTCTGGAGAGGTTTTGCTTGTGTTTTCAAAATACTGATGAGCTGTGTGGTTTATTTTACAGTACATGTCAGGATTTGGAAACGAACATGTTTCTGAGGATCCACGCTGTCCAGGGGCTTTACCGGAGGGACAGGTACTGAGTTTTTTAAAGTGCTTTATTAAAATGACATGGAATAGAGTGACTATCTGTTCCCTGGGCTTCTTTTCATCTTAACGTGTTTCCTTCCTCTCTGCCACCACAAAAGTCTCCAGGAGCCTTCTTTATGCAGGACTGGAATAATAATATGCTGGCAAAAATCAGAATTAAAGCTTTCCATTCATACTTTCTATTTTTAAGTAAATTAATCCCAAGCTTCCAGGTTTCACCTAGGGGGTTAAGACTTCCCTGAATTACCTCTGCTCAACACCATTTTTCCTAAAGGAGTTTGCTATAGAAGTGTCTCAGCCACACTGAGAAGGAAGCCATCAGCTCTGGAGTAAACCGGAGCAGGAGTTTGAAGCTTGGCAGAGACACATGCTCATGCAGGAGAGTCAGCTTTCAGGATTTCTGTAGGAACTGGGTTCGATGAAGCTGACTTATAGGCCTTTGGCAGGAGAGCACCTTCTTTAGGGGAGGGGACATGAGCACCTGTAGTAATAAACCAACAGATTCATTCTTAAAAGTAAATAGCTTCTGCGTGTATTAGATTAAAATAAATTATGTTGGGTCTTTCTGTTTTAAAGAAAGGACCCACCACCCATGTGGTTCTAGCCACTCAGTCTGCAGAGGCAGGAACAAAATCCTGAAGAATTAAAGCTCTCTCATCTTCTTCACGCTGGTCTCCTTTACACCAGCACACATTCCGAGGCTGACTGTGCCCTCCCTTGGATGCCCTGTAATCCCTTGGGCTTGGATGGCAGCGTTTTATGCTCAGTCAGTGACACCCCTTGGTGCAAGTCAGCTCCTCTTCATCCCCTGTGCAAAGAGGCCAGCAGAATTAAGGTCAAACCTGGAACTCCGGGTTTGGAACTCCAAACCAAAGGGTGGATCCTTTGCTTTTCCTGACTTTTCTGGATCTCCCCAGTTCTGATGTTTTACACGTTGTGTGCCAGTGTGGCTAGTAACACACAACACCAAAACACATGAAATGCCTATATATGTCCCCTAGGTCAGCCTTCCAGCCTACAGTGTGCCCACAAGAAAGAAAAACTGCTGTGCTGGATCAGACTGATGGCTCAGCTGGTGCAGTGTCTCTGTTTCTGAGGCTGGCTATATCAGATGGGTGGAGAAAAGATGTAAGAAAGAGGCACCTTAAAACTGGGAGATCAATGGCAGTGACTGCTGGTCTGGAGAGGCAGTGGGCTGTGGTGGATGTGCTCTTCGTGATTTCCCAGAGCAGCACCACTTGCAAGGCGAGGAGACCCCTCCAGCTTCTGGTGGAGGTACCCTTGTCTGGACAGAGTTTGGACTCGGCGTCAAAAGAGTTAATAGAAAAATCAGAAAATGAGTTAGACAAAAAAAAATCTCCAGTCCCAGGGGTGGATCCTTTCTCCTCTGCAGTATTTATAAGACTGGCATCTGCAGCAGTGCTGGCTAAGATAAAAATGACAAGGGCTATTGATCCCCCTGCTTCACTGCATACCCATACTGACAAGATGGAGTTTGAGGGCTGGAAGCTACGTGGCGTTATGAGAGATTTACCTCCTCCTTCTGCCCACCTGTCAGGGCAGCGTTTGGTACGGCGCGGGCGGCTGATCCGCTCAGCCCCAGCAGGGTGACAGGATGCTGAACTAGACCTTGCAGGAGGGAGATGGGATAGCAAATGGTGTATGGCTGTCCCACCGGGGTATTGCCTGCAGTTCTTGGATGCCTTTGCTTCTTGCTGATCTCAAACAAATAGATGCTGGCCTACTTAGATCAAAAAGTTTAGTTTCTGTTCTCTGAAAGGGAGGGCTCTGTCCTCCAGTTAGGAACTCACAAGGGCTGCTAAACCTGTGCTAGTCATACCCTCGGCTCTGCAAAGGGGCAAGTGCCCCCTTTGTACTCTGAAGGAGGACGGTCACTGCGCAGAAGCCCTGTGGAAAAGCAAAGGCTCCCACACAGGTCGCTCCCGCTCCTGGGCAGCCCACAGCACTGGAAGGAGGAAGCAGCACACCACCAAAACACCGATTCAGGGCATCCCTCCTGGAGGGCAGGAGAAGAAGGGGGCATTTAGTGCATGGGAGGGAAGAAGCAAAGGTGCAGCTGCTGCTGCGAGTCTTTATCAGCCCTCAGGAAAGCCAGGCAGACGTGATGCTCTGGGACAACCCATCTGAATGCTTGGTCTCAAAAAAATCTGTGCATAATAATAGTCTGCTTTGCAGTCTGTAAGCATTGGGAATAATCCCCTTTTCCCTGACGTTCCTGTCGCCGACCCTATCAAGTACTGCCCTGTACGGCTTGCTCTAGCAGTGCGTGTGTTGCCCTGGTGGCTGTGCCAACTCCTTAGGGCACTTCTGTAGCCCCTTGCATGTGGGAATGGGTTTTGGGGTCTGGCTGGTACCTGCAGGTCATCCAGCCTCACGGGATCAAGAGGATAAGCCTACTGGGGCTGATGCACTGACTCAGGAGCACAGTCCACCCCATGGCATCCAGGCACCGGGTACCGGCCACGATCCTCTGCCGGGGGCTCCAGAGCTAAATCCCATGCCACTGCGTCTCACTCCTTATTTTTCCTTCTCCTCCCTTTCAGAATAACCCGCAAGTCTGCCCATACGGCCTCTACGCGGAACAGCTCTCGGGCTCTGCCTTCACCTGTCCCCGGCCCACGAACAAGCGAAGGTATGGTGACCCCCAGCAGCAGGGGGGTGACATGCGGTGCTTGGGGCGAGGAGAGGCTGCTGCTGTGCCGCCAGGCTTTCTGTGAGCCTGGGTGGCTGGCGGTGGTGAAGCATGCATCCGAAAACCTCCACCCTGTGCTGGGAGAGGGGCAAGGGCAGAACACCGCAGGAGAGGGAGAGGATGGTTGGGTGGGGCAAGCAGGTTGTGAAAATGCTGAGAAAGAGGGTGTCGGGATGGGGAAGAAAATGGTTTTTTGAGCAAGAAGAGGAAGGGGAGGGGATGTTCACGGGCACCAGATGGTCCAGAGGGGGGCTGTGTGCTGTGCAAAACAACCTCGGGGTCTCAGCCCTGATGCTACCATGAAAATGTCACCGCTGCAACTGGCACTGGTAGGCACCTGATGGACAGTGACAAAACCAAACCTCTGAGCAGGACTCTTCCCTCCTCCAAAGGGATGATCCTGCCAGTGAGGCCCTAGCTCAGGCTGTACCTGTTTTGGGGCTGGCCAGGGGCTCAGAGCAGCACCAGGCACCCAGCATGCTGCTTACTACCCTGTGTGCCCAGCAGTGCAGGGGACAGCTTGCTCCAGCCACCAGCGAGCGTCCCGGCACTCTGTCCCAGTCAACATGCTCCAGCCATGACCAAATTGCAGAATATGGGTTTCTCATTTTGCTTCTCCCACGGCAGCTTTTCTGTCCCTTCTGTTGTTCGTTCAAATGAAAGGCAAATGCATCATCTGAGCTGCCTAGCAGAGCTCTGCTCTCCGGGCTGGTGCCAGCTCGTGGTGTGCGTGGGAAAGGGATGAATCATTGTTTGCTGCACGAAGATGTCCTTGATGGAAATTTTCCAGCTCTCGGGGGAGAGCTCCCTCCTCCCCTCTCCCACCTACCCAAACTGCAACCACCGCTGTTAACACATCAAAGGCATTGGCAGCCCTGCCTAGCTCAGGCTTTCCTGATTACCTCTGCTCTCCCACCTGATTAAAAGCCCAGCTTGGGGCTTGGCTGAGCCTGTGCACGGTGGAGTGGTAGGGGCTGCAGCCATGGGTGTCGGTCGCAGGCAGCAACGGAGGCACGGGGGACCTCCTACATCAGTAAGAAGCATCATCCCACGTAAAACTCTGGTCTTCACTGCGTGGGCTCGTGGTGGTCCTATGGGCATGGCCAGCGAGGCATAGGATGCTACCTTCAGCAATCCATCCCAATTCAGATACTGGCTCTGACCTTCTGTCTCCTGAAAGCTCCTCTGTACTTTCAGTTAGACAGCGTGCATGTCCCTGCCTTGTCTGAGCTGCTTTGTAGCTATGTTTAAATATGCCTTTTTTTTCCCCACCTCAGGGATTGCTGTATTTCAGCCACAGATAAAGCTGTATCTTTATTTTTTGTATACATACATATATGTGTGTGTGAATGTAAACATATGCAGTTATATGTAAGCACACGTATTGACATTAACCCACATATAACAGCATACATTTGTATTTAGAGCCTATAATAAAGAGCCATCTCTCTGGAAGTCTCTGGCTCTGTGAGGTGATGTTTGATATTTAATGCATCTTTTGGTCCAGTTGCCACCGATGTAAATGTTATTTGTTCTTTCAGGAGCTCAATCAGCCGGCAGCCACCCAAGGGGGTTAACCTCTTCCCCAGGCTAATCCAGGTCTTCTCCTTCTTTGTAGCTGGCTGTATCGGATCCTGCCTTCGGTCTGCCACAAACCCTTCAAACCTCTCGAGGAGGGCCACTTGACACACAACTGGGATGAAGTCGAGCCTGACCCCAACCAGGTAACCGTGCTGGAAAGAGCCCGGGTCCTGCCAAGAGGACAGTCAAACATTAAGCTAACCAGGGGTGCAAAGGCACTGAGCTGCAAGAGCTCTGAGGAGAGCCGTAGGGATCTGGGGGTCTGGCCAACACAGGAGCTGGGTCCTGACTGCCACCCGTCGTTCCTCACCTATGGATCATCCAAGGAAGGTCAGCCCTCTATGCAATGCTTGTTGCTTCCCACCTTGATGGATGCTTGTGCTGCTTCCCAGTATGGTCACGGTGTCACAGGGTTTGGTCTGTGCTATCTAGCATCTCTCTTGGGAGCTCCTGTTGGCCACCTCTCAGGCTGCTCTCTCTTCCTCTTCAGCTTCCCCCATCCAGGGCTCATCATGCCCCAGCCTGGCAGGCAAAGCAGCATAGAATCATGGAATCACTAAGGTTGGAAAAGGCCGCCAAGATCATCAAGTCCAACAGTCAACCCAACACCACTGTGCCTACTAAACCATGTCCCAAAGTGCCACGTCTACACGTTTTTTGAACACCTCCAGGGATGGTGACTCCACCACCTCTCTGGGCAGCCTGTTCCAATGTTTGACCACTCTTTCAGTAAAGAAATTTTTCCTAATATCTAATCGAAACCTCCTCTGGTGCAACTTGAGGCCATTTCTTCTTGTCCTATCTCTAGTTACTTGGGAGAAGAGAGAGCAGCATGTCTCTGCCATTCATCCCCTCCTTCCCTGTGCTTTCAGAGAGGCTGCTGGCTGCCAGCCCATTTCTCTGCAGCCCTCATGGGAAATCAAGCTTCATTCTGGAGAGTCACACAGAGACACAGCATTTGTCTTCCTCTGTTATGGCCTTGCCATCATCTTTAATCATGATTTCTTCCCTGCCAGGCCCAGAACATTTGGCTTTGCTAATCTGACTCTCTCCTACTGCCATTCTCCTCTCAACATCATCTCATTGTCATTGTTTTTTACTCCTCTCAGGTTTTGCCCTCTGATGCATGATCACTAGCTAATTTCCAGCCTCCCGCAAGCCTCACCATTTGTCTAAATACTTTTGAGTTCTGCAGGAATGTGTTTTCCAGCCACTGACCAAGGAGTGGTGACAGGCTCATATTTAGGTTCCTTTGGTGCTCCTTCCCAATTGAAGCTCCAATGACTTCTGTTACCACCTTGTCCATCCCTGATGTCCTTTCACAGCCTGCATCTATCATTAGAGTTATTTATGATTACGGTAATTCCAGCTCTCAAGCATCTCAAGCCATTTGCATGTAGTACATCTTTAACTTAAGGGAACAGCAACAAAGCTCCTGCCCACTCTTGCTCTCACCACTTTCAGTGGCAATCATCAAACCCAGAGGGGTTATTTCCTAACAGTAAGTGGGAGCCATCTTCCAGCTTTCCTTCTCATCCTCTCTGAAGCAGAGCCAGAGACCAGGTTCAGTTTGTTGGACAAGACCAACACTTCCCTGCGATGCTTTGTGTTTCGCCCAGCTCACTTAAGGAGCTTTCCTGATTGTCATCCATCTAAAAGGATGGTCACATGGAGGTACCTTAGGTAAAGATCATTGAAGTCAATGGGAAAAAATATCATTTAATGTTGCCCCACTATACTTATTACTTCATCTGTAGACTTGCTGTCATCTTCCATATTCCTCAGTGTGAAAATTTGCTTCCCTTTAGACCATTTTTATACCTGATATTTATTTCTCTTCTTTTGCCTGTTCTCCTTCCCTCCCTCTCTCTCCCCCCTGGCCTTCAGGGTCTTTTCTCTTTGTCCCTCCACATGTCCTTTCTGTCAGTACTTCCCAATGGTTTCTGTCAACTGGGTCCCAGTTCCCAGCCCTGAAGGCTTAAAACAATCATTAGAGGAACAGTTCACATTGAGATGCCACTGCTGGCCTTCACAGCTGCCAAGAAATGAAGGGGAGCCAGGGAAGGTCCCACTGCTGGGTGTGGCAGCAGGCTCTGGAGAACATTCTGACTCTGGCTCATGTCTGGAAGACTGTCTTGGAAACCAAAGGAAAACATTTTTTAAAGAAGTCCAAAAGCAAAACCTGAGGTTCAGCACTATTTTACTGGCTCCTCTGTGAGGTGTCGATACCTTGCAAGGCTCACACCTGATCTGCTGGCAGGTGCGTTTGGTGTCTCCACCCAGAATATGCAGCTTCTCCAGGAGCCTCTTCCCCTCTGTCTGGCACCCCAGCAGTGTGACCCTGAGCAGGCACTGGCATGGAGCCACCCAGGTCTCCTGGGCAGGAAAATGTGCCCCTGTTGGGCAGCAAACAGGATGGGAGGAGGAAAAGACGAGGGATGGATCCAACCCAGGTGACCCAGGGCTGCTGCAAGGCTGTGGCAGTGGGATGCCCTTGGGAAGCAGATGTCTTCAGAGAGCAGAGTGGAGAGGGCCAAGATACAGGGTCAAGCTTGGGGTGCAGAAGTTTAATTAGCAATGAGCCCTTGCTTTGCTCAGCTTTGCTCGCAGATGCACTCGCTGGGCACAGTTGCCTGTTTCCTCCCAAGGCCGGCTCTCCAGGAGAGCCTGACAAGTCACCTGGGCACCCACATTTTGATTTGGGTTTGGAAAACTTCCATGAGGCTTGGGAGAATTTAGTGTCTTTGTATCCTTTCAAATTTAGCTGAAATTTCACATAGTTCAAATTTTTTGGGAGCGGCAGGCACAGACAGAGTCCCATAAGCTTTGTTTTCTTAGGGAACCAGCCTAAAAACGTATCAAGAGCTGCCAGGTTCTCGTGGATGCCCAGAGTCACAGGCACTTTCATCTGGGGTCAAGCGTATCAATGCAGGCGATATATACAGCAGCTGGCCACATCAACATCCTCCTAATTTGGGGTGTTTGGGTTGGTCTGCACCGAACGCCCCTCCGGGGAGGGGCTTTCGGCCACTGCACTTTGCTCCCAAGAGCTGCAAAGACCCTTAATATATCAGCAGCGATAAATACTACGGACTCCTCTGGAACCTTCTCCCTAAGGATCTCGTCAGGCTTTGCAAGAAGTAATTAGTGCTGCTCGCAGCTCCCACTCACGCAAGTAGAGATATTTCTGTTTCGGATGTGGGGAAAATGAGGTGGAGCAAACAGGAGTGTTATCCTCGGGTCATGGAGGGAGTGAATCATCCGGTGTGGCGTGGAACATGGGACCATGACAATTTGGCTGTGGAAAGCCAGCTCATCTGAATTCTTTTGCTCTCAACAGTGCTGTTAGTAATAGAGGAAAAGACAGCTTTTAAATAGGACTTTTTTTTAAACCTTGGTGCTACACAGGCCTGCCAATTATTTTACAAAATTGTGATTGAAAAGAAAAAAATGGTCCATAAAACTAAAGAAACTGGTAAACTCAATTAAGCAAGGCAAAGAGGAAAGAGAAAGCTACTTCAGCTGGCAGAGGGCAGGGAAGCAGGGGTGGGATGGGGATCTGCTTTCTTTTGAATTGCTGCTGTTTGCCTTGTAACCACTGGCATTGCTTTCTTGCTTTTTGTTTGCTGTGATCTAGCTGCGATGGAAACCTTTTGAGATCCCGAAAGCCCCTCAGAATAAGCTGGACTTTGTGAGCGTAAGTTTGGAGGACCAGGGCATCTGGGCATCCTCCATCTCTGCTCCCCCTCAGGGGGCAGCGGGGCACATGGGATGCTCAGCATTGGGCTAACAGCAGTGGGTTTGACACCTCTGGGCTTGCAGAGCATCTGTGGGAGGGGAGAGGATCCCAGATTCAACCACCTGATGGTAGACTAGATTTTCTTCATTGCATTTCAAGGAACTTTTCAAAGAACCCCTTACCCCCAGCTGTCCCCAGTCCCTGGGCTGGAAAACACCAGCTTACACAGATTGCTAACAAACCCTTCAGATATTAAAGTAAAGCCAACCTGTTTGGCCAAACACTGGTAGAGGTACGGGAAGCTGGGAGAGGGGGTGAGCCCCAGCAAGGGGATGGGATGAGAGGAGGAAAGGGGTCTGGCCCCTGTCCCGCTGCCTGCTGCTCACTCCCAGTGCTTTGGGTTTGCCCTTAGGGACTGCACACCTTGTGCGGCGCTGGTGAGCCCAGAGGACGCAATGGCATCGCCGTCCATATTTTTGTCTGCAACACCTCCATGCTTGACAGGTCAGTGACTGCTCCACTGGAGGCTCAGCCTGCCCTGGGCTGGCCACCTGCATGTGTATGTCTGTCACCTCTGTACTTGAGTCCAACTGCTCCCAGTGATGCTGTCCCTATGTCCCTGTGTTCCTGTGTGCCCAGGCAAAGGTGTTTGTGAAGCAGGTTGTGCTCCATGGCCAAGCACTGTGGGAGTGGGTGGGGAGCCACCAGGAGAAGGACAGAGCTGGGCATGGGAATGTGGCAAGAAGGGATGTGTTGGAACCAGGTGCTCTCATCCCAGGATCTGGAGCTGCTCCTCAGAGGTCAACACGCATACAGCCTCTGATGGGCATCGCTGTCCTCTGCAGCAGCTCCTGGGGGAACTCAGCCCTGGTTGCACCCATGGCCAGAAAGGCAGGGACCTGGCGGAGGTCAGAGGAGATCCTGCTTCTAGGCCATGCACATTAAACCTCCCCATCTCCTGTGCACCGGCCCATGTATTGCATTCACTGACCTGCAATAGCATTGCTGCTGCTGCCAAAGGGGAGACCTCTGCCATGTCAACCTCCCAGCTCAAAACTTCCCAGCTGTGGCTGTGGCGTGTGCCTGGGGCTTACAGCACCTTGACCCTTCCTATTCTCCTTTTTCTTCAGATGCCTTTATAATTCGGATGGTGACTTCCTAATTGGTGAGTTGATGCTTTGGCTTTTCCTTTCCCCCACAAGGGTCTGCCTGGGTTGCCACCTGCCTGCCTCTTGTTCCTCCAGAGCCAGGGCCCTACAACCAAGATTTGGATGGGATGGTTGGCTTCACCCTCATGCCATCCAGATTTGGTGGTCTGGCACCAGCTGGTCTATTGGGGGGGGAGTCACACCACTCCTGTGCAGCTCAGGCAGCGCACGTCTGTGCCAGACCTCAGCTTTGGTTTTGAGCAGTGACCCAGCTTCCTTGGCCTGGCGCTCAGGGATCGTTTCCCAGCGCTCACCAGATTAGCATTAGGCACACTACAGGCAGAGGTTTTTGGGAAAAACATAAGCCTCAGGATTTCTGAACAGTTTACAGCTAGATGCCTTCGTTGCTTCAGTCCAAGAGTATTTGGCACAGCAGCTTAGCTCCTGCGCTCTGCCAGCCTCAGGCAACCAGACTGCCACGATGAGTGTTGAGGTTGGCACATAAAGCGCGCACATGCTGAAAAATATTCTGAGCGGTATCAGAAGCCTGATATTTGCTTGTATCTTTCTTGACCGAAGGAGAGAAATGCCTTGAGGTCACCAACAGAAGCAATTCTCCCATAAAATAGCTATTAAATGGCTCTCACTCTCCTCCCTTACTACCGTGAAGTAAAAGTGCTAGGACAGGTTTTGTAAATCTGCTAGTTTTTCAAGTCAAAATGTGAGCTCTCCTGTGCCAGGACAGCCCAGAAAATAATGCAGACGTTTGCATAGCGTTACTTTCACCCTCAGAAAGCACAGGAAATTAGCTGTTCCCAGACATCTCACACTGCCAGGGTCATGACAAGGATGCACCACTTTAGGTGAAGATCATGATATGGACACGAATATATCAATACGCATTTATCTGGACTTGGTGTCTGTGGCACAAACCCTACATCAAGGGAATGTGAGGTGATGGATGGCTTAACCTCACACAGGCACCTGCTGTGATGTGGGGGCCGCGGGGCTGGTCTGGAAGCTCTCCCGCCAGTGCAGGCATCTCTGCTGCAAGGCTTGGCGTGGGAGAGGGAGCCCGGTCCCACTGTGAAGCAGGGTCAGAAAGGGCCCATTCCTCTTCCTTGGAGCCCCAGTTCTTTTCGTGGATGGAGAGGAAGGCATTCACTGCATCACTTCAGCCCCTCTGCCTGCATTTTTTTTCCACAGTGCCCCAACAAGGGAAACTGCTCATCACAACTGAGTTTGGGAAGATGCTGGTGGAGCCCAATGAAATCTGCGTCATCCAGGTAAGGGCTGACTGTACCTTGCCTGTGGCCCAGAGCTCAACGTTGGAGCAAGCCAGTCCCAGCATTCAGCTGGTCCTGGTTTGTCAGGAAAGTCCTGGGAGGACTTTAGTATCTTCTTTCATTTTCCAGCAAGGAATGCGTTTCAGTGTGGAGGTGTTTGGAGAGACCAGAGGCTACATCCTGGAGGTGTATGGGGCACACTTCGAGCTGCCTGACCTGGGACCCATTGGTAATGATCTCCCATCAGACCTACAGTGAATTTCATAAAGACAGCCAGGAATTGCAAGCCCAATCCATCCTTTTATCTCCTATGTAATAAATCCTCCTGTGCACATGCTCCTTCCCAAAAATGCTTTCCACCCTAGTACTGTTATTCCTCAGCAGAGCAAGCATCCCCCCCCAAAAATGTGACAGCTCAGTTGTCCCAAGATTCCCCTGGGACTGAAGGGACAATTTCTCTCCCCATTTTCCCCTTTCTCTCTTCCCTTCTGGGAGTCCCTATCTGCTGGCTCTGATTCCTACCAAAACAAACTCAAAAGGCCATCATCACTGATACCCCTTACTTATGGATACAGCATAAACTGGAGTAATAGGAGATAATTTACCCGGTGAATGGAAAGGCAGATTTCAGGGATGATGGATGTTCTTGAAGTCCCATTTTAGATTTAATTAAGTGCTTTTTCCCCCAGCTCTGTGAACAGAGACACCTTAGAGCTCTAGAGTGCCTTAGTGTCAGAAGCTGTTCTCCTCGGAATGAGCAGCACAGGACCGGGATCAGCAACACATTCACATCTCTGTGTTGTGCTGCCAGGGTGGATCTGCCTTCACTGAGCACGGGTCTAGCTTGCTCATAAATCACAGCTTTCCGGAGGTGCTCAGCTCAGGTTATTTCACCTTCCTTAGCCCGGGAGCACGCGCCTCCAAACTTTTCTTGCTGAGAAAAACACCTCCTGGCTACTGCTACTGAGTTTGTCTCAGAGAAAGGAAGTGAAACTTCCCTTGTAACAGCTACAGCCAACTACAAACCAATAGTTCTCTGCTTTCAGACTGGTGGTTTGGAGTTGGTTGTTTTCCATTTTAGGTTGGGTTGGGGTTCTTTCTCCACTAGTCTGGGCTTGGTTTATAGCTCTCAGTGAGATCTAAAAGACTGGCTGTGCTTGAAATTAACTGACTAGGTATTATCAATCAGTAACAAGCCTGGCACGGCCCATCTGCATGCAGAGGGCCTTTGCAAACATCTCGTGGCCATAGTGAAACTGAAGCTGGTTGTTCTTGCCATGGGAAGCAACCCAATTTGCAGCCATTTAATTGGGATCCCACTCGAGCATCTCTCCCGTGTGACATGCTGGGCACATCTCTTTCCACACTGAACCTACTCTGATTTTTCAGCAGCTTTCCTTTCAGCCAGCTGAGGTTACCTGCCTTTACCCACTTCTTGCGCTCTGTGCCTGCTCCACTCGATTAATGATATTGTTGCCCCAGCCTGTTTGTAACAAGTTTTCCCATTCACTAGTTTTTCAGACACTGTTGGACTGGGTTTGGAGGGGAGGGGGGTGGTGTTCGGTCTCCAGAAGGCAGGAATCTATTATAAGGTTTACTTTCTGGAGAGAAGAAAATGAGTGCGCTTGCCTGTAAACCTTTTCAGGAGGTGGTAATTATAAGAGCTCCTCTTCTCACCACCTACCCACCTTCCCCTCAGAGACCATGATCCTTTGTATTTCAGTCTTACTTTATTCTAACATCACTTTTCACTTGAAAAATGACAGCTGGAGAAAAGCACTGACTGTTAAACCTTAGCAGCAGGTAGTAATGTCTGTATTTTTATCCAAGAAATTTGAAACGACTTTGTAACAATAATACTAATGAGAAGAATAATAATACTTCAGCACCCGTATGGTGCTTTGCACTTTGAAAATGCACTCGTCACGCTAACCAACCCCTCAGTATGCTCAGAGTCTGTAGGTATCACTAGCTCTTATTTTATCACTCTTTTTGCAAGCATTCAGAAATGTATTTGGCCCCCTCATGACATGCCTCATAACTTCTGCGTGGCTAAGTGTCCAACCAGCAGGATGTCCAGGAACAGAGCGCAACTCACCCTCCATTTTTTGCGTAATTCCTAGTTGTTACATGCCTTTAATTGAGGATGAAAGACCAATCTTGTTCAGGAGGGAACTAGGGGAGACCTGTCTTAGTCACATAAGGGGAGCATGGACTTAAATGCTAGGATGTATTACAATTACCTGCTTGTAGGAGCACAGAAAGTACATGACTATTTCAGGTTTTGTAGTGGGCCTGGAAGCAGTAAGGTCATTCAAAATGCAGAAGGGCACCCACGAAGCCAGGAAATTGTGGCAGCCTCTCACTTTGCTCACAGGTTGCCCAAAGAGCTCTGGTGTCTCTTTTTCTTTTGCAGGAGCCAATGGCCTGGCCAACCCGCGTGACTTCTTGGTGCCCATCGCATGGTATGAGGACCGCCAAGTGCCGGGGGGCTACACAGTGATCAGCAAGTACCAGGGCAAGCTGTTCGCAGCCCAGCAGGTGAGGATGCCCTGGGAGAACAGGTAACACTGAAGCGCAGTGACCACCAGTGCATGGCCTGGGATATGCAACTCAGTAGCATGCACGTAGGCTCAGGAGGTCCTGCTGGGTTAAGAGGAGCAGGACTGAGCCCTTGCCTCGTGGGGTCATTCATTCGTCTTCCCAGATGAGGCTCCTCAGTCTGGAAAAAAGTGTTTGTGAAGACTTGGTTGCCCAAAGACTCATTGACGGTCTTTGCCTCACTGTTGCCATACATTCACAGTGACAGCTCAGAAAAGAGGAGCTGGGGCTGCTGTGAAAAGCCAGGGTTTCCTCACAGGAGAGCCAGCATTGCAGCTGGCCTTCTTCAAGCACTGCCTGGGCACTCAAAAGCCCTTAGAGACCAAACCCCAGAGGGAGGGCTGAGGCTCACCAAGTGGAAATGCTGAGGAAAACCATGTCCTGGCAATGTCGGGCTGTGCTGAAAGGACTTTGTGCTCCAGGCTGCCGGTGTACCTCTCACCAGCACTAAACTCATTTTTAAATTGGGGAAGAGTAATGCCCCGCATATGTGCAGCAAGTTGGAAGGCTGTGTATGGTAACCCTCTGTCTCTTTGCTTTGGTAGGATTTCTCCCCCTTCAATGTTGTAGCCTGGCATGGGAACTACACGCCGTATAAATACCACCTGGAAAAATTCATGGTCATTAATTCTGTTGCCTTTGACCATGCGGTAAGTTCTGGAGCTGAGCAAGGAAAAACAATGCTGCATGGATACCCTACCATCCAAATTCACCCTGAGCTCCAGGGGCTCACCGCCTGTTAAAAAATATGTTGTGTGCTAAGAAACAGTGTGAAATAGCTTGTGCTGTTTTCCCTGGGCCCAAACCAAGCTCTTGTAGAGAAAGACAACCTCCTTTGCGGTACAAAGACATAACTGGAGGTTGATCAGCTTCTTAAACAGCTTTATGCAGCTTAGCATAGAATTTTTGCACCCTGGAGAAGAGCTGAATTCTGAAGCCAACACACACCGTGCAGCTCAGCAAAAAGACTTTTGCTTCCAATTCTTGCCTTGATTTATTTCTTGCAATTGCACAGACTCCTTCCCTGGTTCCTCTGAGCCCAGCACTGAAATTCCTTCAAAGAGCTGGCAGCTTTCATTTCAATAATTTCTAGATCTTACAGAAAATAACGGAAGCCAAAACTAATGTGAGCAGCTCTTCTAAAAAGGAAACCAGCCCAGTGGGAGAGGTACCCGCAGCGATGCCATCTCTTGGCGCTGCTTCTGCAAGTGGGTGTGCGAGGAGACTGAAGCATTTCTAGTGAGACAACCAACAGAAAGAATTGTTTAAACTCCAGAAAAACCTGCCAGGAGAAGGATGGTTTTGGGATCAAAGCCCAGAAAATCACTTTACTGGACTAGAGACTTCAAAAATCCTTGAAGCAAGCCACAATTTCCCTGCACTTTGTTCTCCCTGTCTGTAAACTAACAGGACTGTGAGGCTAGATGCCTCCAGCAGGCTGCTCCTATCCTCTGCAACCAGCTAAGGAAGAGGTACAGTTTTGTGGCAGGAGGAGTGCTGGGGACGGCTCCTGGAATTACAGTATCCCGTCTTGCAGGGCTGTCCCTCCCCTGCATCTGTGCCGCCAGCTCCAAGGGCATCATTGCTGGGGCAGGGAAGGCTCTCCAAGGCTGCCTAAAGGAAGAACCATCCAGTCCCATCATTTGTCTCCCATGTTCAGCATGGGATCGAGATGCTGGGTGCTGTCACACAGGGCTACAGATCTCACCCACACCACCAGCTGCAGGTGGTAAAAGTGTTTTGGCAAGGCTGTATCAGTCAGGTTTACCAGCTGGATGACCTGAGCAGATAGTTCTGAGCCCTGCTCTGTTCCATGCTTTCTGCTTTGCTTTTTTCAGGATCCTTCTATCTTCACTGTCCTGACAGCCAAGTCGACCCGTCCTGGAGTGGCACTCGCTGACTTCGTCATATTCCCCCCGCGATGGGGGGTAGCTAACAACACTTTCCGCCCACCATACTACCACCGTACGTCTGCTCTTTGTTGGTTGTGCTTGAGTCCCCAGGACTGCAGGGAAAAAAAGAAACTCTTCATTTATTTGAGAGCACGCGCAGGGAAGCAGCAGTCTGATTTGTTGCCCTTGGCACAGTTGGTGTCAGCTTCTTGGAGTCGGTCAGTCCTCCCTGCAAAACGAACAAACCCAAAGATGTTCCTATTTAGAGCATCTCGGGAAAACTCAGAGGTGATGGGCTGGTGGCATCTGCATAGATGGATGTGCTTGGACTCCAGGGGCTCCCACTAAGACCAGGTCCATATTGAACTTGACATTGCAAAAATGGATCAGAAATTGTCCCATCATCCAGCCATGAACCAAGAGAGACGTAGAGCTGCTCAAAGCCACTTGCAGGGGGAAATCAAAGTTACAGCAAAGGATGGAATTGGCTCTCCTGAGCCCTTCTTCACCACATACAGAGTGATGGGGGTACCTCTGACATTTAAGAAGCCAGAGATCAGGAACTGGGCTCCTTCTCAGGCAGTTGATTGATTCTGGGGGTTTGGTTGCCATCACCAGGGCCAGTTTGGTTTTGGCAGTTTTTTGGTTTCGTCTTGGCAGAGCATGGCCACATATTGCATTGAATGGATACTGGAAGTCCAGTTGCCCACGTGGGATTGCCCAGGGTAGGGATGAGGCAACTTGCTCTACAAGACTGAGGGGGAAAGCTTGCTCATGCTGCACCCCCTTCGATCGACAGCTAAAAGGCCCCATCTCAGCAGCTATCAAGGTCACACTATGGTCACTTTGAAGTGCTGAGAGGCTTTCTGCACACTTACTAACCACAGTCTAATAGCCAGCTCCTCCTGCTACTTAGACATATTTCCAAGCATCTTGGGGGCTGGCAGAATTAGTGGCGCTTGCAAGCACAGTGTGCAGCTGTGCCGCCATCCAAGTAAATAAATCCCACAGGCGAAGTCCTGCCCTGTCATTTTGCTTTCATTCCCGTTAATGAGCGGGACATGGAAACACATCTCCTGACCGGCTGAGCTAGTGCCAGGTCACACTTACCTCTTTCATTAGACCCTGAAAGGTGAGAGACACAGCCAGTTTACCATGATTAAGTTGCCGCGTATAAGTAGAGTTCTGCTAACTTTCCACGGACGCATTGTGTTGAACAGCATGAACTTGTTCAACCTTGCTTAGTCTGTGGTAAAAGATGGCTGAAATAACTCTCATTCTCTTGCCTGTGTTGTGAGCTAAGAGTACCCAGGCAGACAGCTACCACAGCTACTCGCCTGACCATGGTACCTCGGCCATGGGCATGAGCACTAAATTCATGATGAGCAGGCTGGTTGCCTACTCTAGCCCCAGGCATGGAGGGGCAGAGCTTGAGCAGGTAAAGCAGACGTTGCAACAGTCAGTTATCGAGACACTGCACGTTGGTTCCCTCTGAAATTAGTGTGGTGATGAGAATCTTGTGCCGTTAGAGAGGCGTAACATGACAAAGCAACTCAGGTGGGAGTAGCATTTAAGTTCAGTGCTGCTTGAACTCCCCTCTCTCCAAACGTTTTACAAGAGGCCTATTTTGTTTGCCCAAAATCCCCTGTTGCCTCCTCTTTCTCAGGTGCAGTGGAAAGCCTGTGTTCAGAGAACTTTGGTGCACTCGGAGTCATGGTTTTCGTCTTGCCTTAACTTTGCACCAAGAATAAATACAGCAATGGTGGTCAAAAAACTTCCCTCTAGACACCGTAACAATTTCACAATTTCACAGAGGTGGCTGTGCAGCTCATAAATACTGACTTCTCTTGGTCACCTTTCTACATCCTTGGAGGCTGTGAATTACAACTAGGGACTTTGGAACACAGGTTAAAAAATGTGTCTGATACAGCTTTTAAACCATATATTGCATCAACATCTGGGAGAGAACTTGTGTGATTCCAGTTACAGCGGGACCTAACACCTAATGGCCACTAAGGGATTTTAACTTCACAGTATCCTGGTTGTAGAGGACAATGCTGTTTTATCGATAGGGAATGGAGGCGTGCCTAAGTTCTTGGGGTGATGTAGGAAATCTGCGAGTGAATAAGAAACTAGACTCAGCTCATCTCTTAAGCCCTAGCCTGGTTTCCTACTCACCAGCCCGTTCTTCCTAAGCAATAGTATGAGTGCTGTTGCAGACGCGTTGGCAATCCAGCTCTTAGGGGCTGTACAGCAGTCTGAGCGCACCCGGCGCAGCACACGAGCGAGGTCAGTGAAAAGCCCATAACAATCTGGTCTTACATGAGATATTGACAACTTGGGATGGAAATTAATAAATGTTTGCATACACGCATAGGCCAACTCTGCTTCGAGCTAAATTAGTTTTGTTGTTAAACATTTCAGACCCTGGATTGTACTTAACGAAGACCAAGCTAGTGGCTTAAAAGGGCTATATATAACATAGGCTAGAGAAGCGTGTCCTGGTTTTGCAAAAACCGACCGCTAAGTAGAAAGTGGCTGTATTGTTTAGTCACATCAGGTCAACTAAAGCTGAGAGCTTGGGGTGGCAGTTGTTAGAGTACTTCCCTTACAGGGAGCGTAACTCAGTAAGTACTGGGTGATTAGATATAGTCACCCTTACCTAAGCGAGTGGTGTATTACTCCATTGGTTTCAGAGGGTCTACTTAAAAGTATTCTTCCTTGGGGAAAGATGAATTTGGCTCCTTGTCTTTGGGCATACAGTGACTCTTGAGAAATAAGGAAATAATGCACGAGTCAAAAGCACAAGGTACTGAAGCGCCTGGCTGGACTGGAGGTCGTAGAGGAATATCAAACAAAATGATTCCAAGCTTATAACCTGGGACAGCAAACCAGGCTCTCTCACCAGACCGCCAGCCAGGCACTTTGTGCCTCAGTGCCTGTAACACAGGGATGATTATACTGAACTTTCTCTTCAGCGCTTTAAGATCTCTAATCCAAGCCTGTAAATATCAGGTTACACCATGCAGTCCGTATGCAGGTGCAGTACTTTTACACTGCTCGAGGTGGTAGGAAAAGCACAGCTCTATCAACATCAATGCAGCTTCATTAGGGAGCTCTCAGTTTCTGCGTCCAGATAATTAAGAGCAAAATAAAACCTGTACAGCCTTACAAGCATTACCTGTAGGATCCCTGATATCCTCTCTTGTGATACCCTGCTTAGGAACCTCCACTCCACCCACTGTCTGGCCGAGCTTAGCTTGTGGGTTTCAAGGAGCTCCCAGCCCAGCTGTGATGCCTCCCAATCACACTGCATTGCAACCTCTTCTCTATGCCTCCTGCAGGGAACTGCATGAGTGAGTTCATGGGGCTCATCAAAGGCCACTACGAAGCAAAGGAGGAAGGCTTCCTGCCCGGAGGGGCCAGCTTGCACAGCATGATGACTCCTCACGGGCCAGATGCTGACTGTTTTGAGAAGGCGAGCAAAGCCAAGCTGGAGCCTGAGAGAGTTGCAGAAGGGACCATGGTAAGGAGCCAAGGGAGACAGTAAGATTTCGAACACAGCATGGCATACTGCGGCTGTGCCACTCTCAAAGTACAGCCTAGCTTCTTGCTGGCAAGCTGGAAAAGTACTTGGACCAAACAGCTGCAGTGTTCACCTCCCTTTACCCATCAGCACCATTCAACTCCCAGGAGCTTCCCCATAGACATGCGATGCCAGGCAGCTTTGATCATCTGCCCACATAAATTGTTGCCTAAGCAGGAAGCTGGGAATTTTCATGCTGATTAATTTAATTTTTGTCTTAGCCTATGGAAAAAGAAACAAACCCCCTGACTGTCCTCCTTTCTCCACCCCCTAAAATCTAATGATAAACATCAGCAGACCTTGAAGTAGAGCTTTCGGAACAACATGACCTTCCTGGGTATGCAGGGAATCCAAAGTCACTCCTGAGACCTGGTTAATACCAGCGTTGCAATGCCAGCTCTGAAGAGCTTTCTTCCCCTGGGTTGCTCAGGCTGGAGGCAGAGCTTGGCAGGGCTGGACCATGTGCGCAACTCCTGTTTGTGGTAGAGCAGAACCACCTTGCCTGGATGCAAACTCTCACTTTCTTGCCCTAAACTACCTTCCCTCTTCCCAACAGGCCTTCATGTTCGAATCATCCCTAAGTATGGCCGTCACCAGATGGGGCCTCCAGACCTCACAGCGCCTAGATAAAAACTACTATAAGTGCTGGGAACCTCTGAAAAGCCATTTCAACCCTAAGTGCAAGTAAAGAGAAGTATTTCTTGTTTGCAATACGTGAGTGAAGACAGGAAAATCCAGCGTACCTACATGTGGTGGCACAGTAGACTCGGGCAATGCAGAGCACTCTGGCATTTCCAGCAGTCGCCGAGCCACAAAAGTTATCATCCCTATGTAACTTGGGAAAGGAAGTAAAAAACTACCATTATTCTTAACTTTCAAGTAGCCAATTAAAGCTTTCCTGGTGACACGCTGAAGCTGAAGTACTTGTGTGGCTTTCACTATGTTGGTGTGAATGCTGTACCTGGTGCAGATATGAGGCAACAGCCAGCCCCCATTCACACAGGGCCTCCTGAAAATACAACCCAGTGTGTCTTTCACAGGGAGAAACTAGGAATCAATAAAGCATTTTATGTTGTCTGTAGGGGAAGAGCTTTCCAAACAGAGCTGAAGGCTCTAGCAGACCTAAGCCTCCTGTTAGAGCAGGCCATTCAACTCTGCAGATGGCTGCTGAGGAAAGACTTGATTATCAGAAAAGTAGATCGCAAATTAGAAAAAGTTGGAGAATCCAAAGCGCTTCACTGCTAACTGAGGGAAAGTTTCCTCCCCAACCCCATGCTCTGGACATCCTTCAACATTGACTTGTTTGTCAGCACTTGACAAATTTTCTCCCTAGTTAAGTGCTACTTTGCAGCACAGCGAATGCAAAAGGGCTTGTCTGGCCAGTCCAGGCATTTGCTCCCAGGGAGGTACCTGGAAGAAAGCTCAAGTGCAGACAACATCGTGGAGGACCTCAAAATTCATTGGAGTATGCAAGCCTCACTCCCGGGTGGTGAGTTCCACAAGGTAGAGGCAGAAAGCAAAGCCCCAGGTAGGCTGGGCACTGGGAGCACAGCCCAGGCACCCCAAACCTCAGGCCTGTACTTCAGCACCTACCAAACTGTTACTAAACTTGGTGCCATCAGGATTTATGCTTCTTACTTCCCAAGAGAAGCAATCCTCAATTTTCCAAAAGAGAAGGAAATGTAGAGCTCTAACACCTAGCTTCAGTCAGTTACATCCATCATTGGTTTTGGATCTGCACCAGATCCTTGGGGGAAAAAAAGCATCAGCTTTGAGCAAAGTATTACATTATAAAATCTGCAGGGAGATGTTTACTCTAAAATAGCCAGCTCAGAAAAGGACGTTCAGGAGAATCAATTTGCCAGAGAAGCTGATTTAATCAGACTGATCCACGGATAAATGAGGTCTAAATGTTTCACAGGCAAAGGGGAAAAGCTTGTTTTCTCTTTGGGACCTAAATTATCATCCAGTGACCTGCAGGCTTGAGTTTTTCTTGCTGTAGACTCATCACTGAAGCAGACACGGCTGGTAACACATCAGTCAAGGGTAAAATTCCACGAGGCACATTCACTCTCCTGTCTTCACCCTACATTTCTGAAGGGAAACCCCTTTCCTTCCTCTAAGCGCCCAGCACCACTGCCTCAAACCACCAACCCCACCTCCAGTAGCAAAGCACGTTCGCTCCTTGTAAAAAAACAGCTTAGAGAATTCTGCAAATGACGAGAGAGAGAAAAGTAGGGCAGCCTTTCCCCAAGCACCATGCTCAAATCTGCAGGGACGTAGCATCAGGCACTCTCGGCTGCAAAGGAAAAGGGCTGTGGCAGGTGCCGCGAGCATCAATCCAAGGCTGGCCTAAAAGACTCGAGGCGCTGTGCTCATCCACAACCCATCCCGAACCATTTGCTCAACCGTCCTGAAACAAATACAGCTGCAAGGGAGAATTTACATGTGTGGCAACTCAAGTTCCAATTAGCTGAGGAAATGGGTCCTGGGAGATCAAATTAGTTTGTGGCAGCAAGAAGACTGTTAATTTAGCACGCTCAGACAAGCAATTATTTCTTTCCCCAACTACCGCTTTCTCCATGCATTGATGCCTCTCTCTCTGCACTGACCCACAGCCGTATCTTGTAGTATCATTTGTGACAGTCTTTTAGAAGCTGTTCTGCAGAGAGAACAATCTGGGTTTGCTTTAGTTAAGCTAGCAGAAGAACAACCCACAGAGACGGGTGCAAGAGGGCTGTTGAGAGCACATAAGGGATGGCAAAAGCAGGCCACAGCTGCTGTGCACAGCCTTAGTCCCAAGCCCCCACTGCCTGAACGTTTCATGACCCAGAAAGGAAAGGGAAGAGCTACAACAGGAAACAGTCTTTAAAAAAATTTTTTTTTTTTTTTTTAAATTAGTAATCAGAAAACACATTTTTACTGTGAGAGTGACTGAACATTAGCACATGTTGCCCAGAGAGGTTGTGGAGTCTCCATCCTTGGAGATACTCAAATGCCACCTGGACACAGTCCTGGGCAGCCTGCTCAAGGTGGCTCTGCTTGAGCAGGGGGCTGCACCAGATGAGCTCCAGAGCTCCCTTCCAACCTCAGCCATTCCCTGATTCTGTAAAAAAGCTCATCAACTCACTCTGATGAAGAGGAACTGCAAATAGCCCACACTTAGATCCTAATCACGCAGGAAAGGGACTTAGCAGAGCTGATCTCGCTGACTTCACTGTCGAGAACACAGGCTTCCTTCCCAGCAGGCAGAGGGAAGTTTTCAACTTTTGCATCAGACTGAGTTTTTAGCATGCACCTCAACATTTGGGAAGAAACCGCTCCTGTAGAACATCTGAAGAAAGAGGGTTGTTTGGATCATGGCTGCACCTACAGACCACGTGAAAGTTCAAGTCTGAATTAAAAATCTTTTCCTTGCACTCACATTTCAGGACTTCAGCAGTAACAATTCCAGAGCCCCCTCTACCAGTTGACCTGGGCAGAAAAGACTTGGGTTCCTAACACAATAAGCAGAGAAGACATCTTTGTAGGCACACGGTTCAGTTATGCTTGGGGGTTGTATTTTTTTTAATTATGGCTCATTTGCAGGGGTGAAATGGAATTCTCCTATGCTGTAAGGGAATCAGTGTCAAAAATAAAAATCCTTATCTTTTTATTTCTTGTCTCCCACTCACAAGAATCACAGAATTAGTGGAAATGCTAGTCACACGCAGCATGACAATGTCAGCTTCCAAGTCTGGTACAGTAATTTTATCCAGAAGTTTACTGCAA